TAATATAATATAATATAATATAATATAATATAATATAATATAATATATATTCAGCCAACTGGGACAGTGAAAAGCAGTATATGGCCTGACTGGCCTCATAATTTGAACATCTTTATTCGGCCACAAGAGGCTGCACTCCACCTGATTAAACTTGGTGGTTAGTGAGGCAATGCCATTTACAGAACAGAGGCCTCAGCATCAAAGTAAAATGATTGTGTGGGCTGCTCTTTCAACTGTAAGTGAAGCCCACCTGCTTTACATTGCCTGGGTATGTAGTTTCCTATGGTCATTAAAAAGGTAGTTAAAAAGCTCTAAATTTGTGTTTTTTTGCAGATCTTTATTACTACCAATGTAGATTTATTCATCATTGTCTAAAATTCTCTCAAATTATTACATAGTTTAGATTGCAAAGAATAGACAAATTATCAAAAGGACAAATCTGAATTTATCAGTCATTGTATTGTGAATGTGTTTTTATGATTGAGTGCATTTCTTGAAGTTGGTGGAAATACTGACAGCTGTTATATTAAAGATTATGATTAACGCATTATTATAACTATAGAATGATAATTTGTCGTACGTTACACAACAAATTATTTTAGATGGTATAAAAGGAATGAACTATTTATATGTTTTATCCCTATTTCACCTTATCTCTAATCTACTGTACAAAAAGTGTGTCTGAGTGTCTTTTTATTAGATTATTTTAAGACACCTAAGAGTACAATTGGAAAGTACTAGGAGAATGAATAGCCAGTAGAACGGGCTCCTCTTCCAGCCCTAAAAAAGCGCTTTCCTTTTTTTCATTTTCACAACTCTTAACGTTTTTCATTTTATCAGATTGGCAGGTATTGTTGAAACTGAGGGGCAGAATGCAGTGCTTTTTAAATAGTGAAGAGTCTATGAAATCACATCACATGCACATTGATCAAGAACATTTCAAATTTTTGTTGTTTCACGTCATCCAGCAATGATGACACAACGAACATAGACACAATATCTCATTAGCTGCTTTTGGTAAAGAGTTTACAACAAGCAGCGAATAAGCGGGCTCAGTGTTTAAAGATACTTATTCAAAGATAGAAAAAAAAATGGTACGAAATATCAAAGGTAACATTGAACGTAAAATCATTCTACTGTGGCCAGAATACCAGATTCCAGGGCCACACAGGTACAAACAACCAAACACACTCACAGTCCTACTCATGTGCAATTTGGAGTGTCCAATTAACCTAACGTGCGTGTTTATGGCCAGTGGGAGGAAGCCGGAGTACTTAGAGAGAACCCACGCAGACACAAGGAGGGCATGCAAACTCCCCACAGAAAGGTCACGCTCCCCCTGGGACTCAAACTGTGAAGCTTCATCATGATTAAATATGAGCATTCAACCTTATAAAAAGTAGGTTCCTATTAAAAATATGCACCGACTATAAATAACTCTGTAATTACTCAGTTGTAAAACAAAACGAAGCCCAACAAAGCTCCTTGTTTATGGTAAAATCTATTTTTATTTCTGTTTTTAAAACTCTCTCTGATTATCTAGCATGGGTTCTTTATATGCGCCTACCTGATTGTTAGGGAATGAGTTATATTGTATTCCAACCAGCAAAGGACATTTTTACACAAAATGATCAATTCAGGCTGTATTCTGGTGTAATAAAACACAATAATTCCAAATTCTCTAATTGATTATTTTATGTTTATACTCCACAATTTACTTTGGCTCTTAAAAGTTTCAAGAGAAATGTATTTGGACCAAAGGAATAGTCACATGGGTCTCCCTTCACCAATTTCTTAGTCAAAAGACTCTCCTACCACTGTGTAGATGGCCGAATAAAAGCTGAGGGCCGCATCTTTGGAGGGGAAGGACTTGCGAGCGGATACCACCAGGAAAGGGTTCCCCGTGCAGGCTCGGAGCTCTGTGATGTACTGCAGAGGAGACTGGCAGCCCAGAGCTGTGTAATTTGGCTTGCAGGTGGACAAGAAATGAGGTGTCTGGTTTCCTGTCACAACTTGTCCAGCGTTGGCAAAAATAGTAGTGGTAAAAAGACCAAAGGAGTAAACACCTGCGAGAAAAAGGGCACAAGTAAAGAGTCAACTCAAGATAAGAGTAAGAAATACGCATTTGTAGTTGGGTTTATCTGTGCTATCTGTATGGTTTTTAAAGGCCAGAAAGACACAGGTTTGCTTTTAAGCTTTTGAATTCTGTCTACTAATCAGAGATGCTAAAAACATAGTACTGAGTCAACATAACAGGGCATGAAAAGAAAAGCAATGAAAATTTGTCCACAGGAGACCCACTCTAAGAATAAGGGCTCCTTTTTTCTATTCCACACACCCTGTGAGAGAGGAGTGGTGCTGTAACTCTTAATGAGCCTTGGACCTAAAAGTACAGAGGCTCTTATACGTCAAAGCCAAAGAACTTCTGATCTTTTAGACTGTGACTGACCCAAAAAGCGAACTATCCTACGGAGGAGAGGGTTGAAATAACAGCAGTCAGCAGTCACTATGGTCTTCTCCTGAGCGCCTTCTGTCTTTACAAAGAAACTGGTCACTTCTCCAATCAGAATCTGGCACACACAAAAAGGAGAGGGAAAAACAGACACAAACATTTTTTTTGTCAGACACAGAGCTGAAACTGCATGAATAATGGCTGATCTGTTTCAATGCATATTCTGCCAGTTAAATATGGTGCACAGCAAAATTATTCATGAGTGTTTCTCCCCTCAGCTGGGCACTGATTAAAATTTCCCCCACCATGTGCTTGATTTTATGCCGCTTTTCTGGAATCACAACATTAAAATCTTCATCTCGCTGTAATCAGTTTAACCTGGATGTGTTGCAGACCCCTCTGATTGTTCAGTTTCTCTCTTTTTTGTGAACATTTTACTGAAGATCCACAAAATTATGGCAACACTTTTCTCAGTTGGGTTAACTAAATCAGTAATGAGTATTTGGTTTGTAAGTTAACACCAGTCGAACACGTTTTTTATTCTTTTAAATAAATATTTGAAAAGTTTTATATTTAGCTCACTGTGATCACACTCTTAAAACTTAGTATTTCTGCTGTTAAAGCTAATGCTCATTTCAAGGACCCATTTAGATGGCTAATGCCTTAAGCGTCTGGTTTTAAACCCGCTTTTAAAAGTTTCAAGTCAAATCAGCAGAGGCCTAATTTCTTTCGACGGGGGAATAAATTGGCTAAACACCATACTCCATGTATCCAGAACCATTTTAGTCTGCGTACGGAATTTGCCTCATCAAGGATCCTGAGCTGACAGAAGCATGGATAAATGTAGGTTACATGTTCATCAAATATGCATAGCTTAGAGTAACAAGCATGGAATAATTCTATTAGAGCAAAGCTCCTCGTCCTCAGTGTGTCAGATGAAGGCCACGCAGGCACTGATGCCGTGAACTAAGAACCATCTAGCAGAGGGTTAATTTGGAATGGTGGCGCTCGGGTGTCAGCGTCATTACTATATATGACCTCAGTGCTTCAAAGACACACAACATTAAGGATTATATAGTCTAAAGCAGAAAGGTTTAGATTTCTGACGAGGCAAGAACAGATCTGATGCATCTGCAGAATTGTGTGTATTGCAGGACAATACTCATTTAACTTCTTATTCATTTTCGCATGTATATATTTTTCAATGTGTTCTGCATCCCATATGCAGCAATGAAAAAATAACACACCAATTTCCACCCTGGAAACTCCTTTGTTGTTTGAATACACCTTTTTTTCCCCACACATATTCCTTTACAGATGAAAAACAACACAAGATATATCAAGTATCATTATGTACATAACAAGAAAACAATTGAGTTAACATGAAGAAACTAAAACACATTTTTAGACCTAGCTCCTGACAACAAGAGTTTGAGTCCAGTTCTAATGTCCCAAGCAAAAGCTGGAGCAGGTAGACAAAATGACTCAAACATTGTGTCGGTGGTGGTTATAATGGCAACCATTAATAGCTATCAGTGAGATTCACACGCATGCATCGCCGGGGGGTAATGGAAGAAAGAATGAAAAGACAACGGTTTGCTCAGGAAATGTAGTTAAATGCCCCCATCTTCACATCTGGTGATATGATAGCAGATTCAAGACAGAAGTGGTTCCTGCTTCCAGCAGCTGAGTCCTACTATAGGATCAGCAGGAACAGCCAGCCTTTGCCGCACTGTCTTCTCTCCCTAGGGATAAGTTGGTTAATATCCAGCTGAAAACCTTTGAACTATTTCCAAGAAAGTTCTAATATACATTTATTCCCCTTTGCGGTTTTTCATGCTTCCCTAAAAGAGCTCTACCATCTCTCTGGAAATGTGAACTCATTCACACCGGTTCAAAAATGATTGAAACCTAAATGAACTCACAGATCCAATGGTGCACATACAACCCCGATGGAAATAAACTATTTTCCATACCCAACTTAATTGCGCTGTTGTCTGCAATTGGGTGTGTTTCCCTATTAGGTCTTGACGCTATGACACGGATTTGAGCATCTTTTTAAAAAAATTGAAAAAAACATTAGAAGCAGTGGAAGTTTCCTGCTCCTGAAACATTGCAACATTGCAATGTCAGCAGCACATTGCCATGGAGGAAAAACATCAGCAACTTTTAAGGAGACCATGTGGAAGAAATTGTTAATGGTGTGAAGGTTCTGTCCTGGAAAATGGACTAGGAGACTGGTGGTATTGACCGCATGGTGTACAAGAGAAAATGCAGAGAGGACCTAACATGTTGTTTTTACAATATATATGTTATCTATTCTTTCTGAAAATATATATCAACCAGCATTGGGCATGTTTAGTATGCCACAACTGACACATGCTATGTATCCATCTGCCTGCATTCATATACCATGAATCTATCTACATGTAAAAGTGAAGAACTTGTAGGAATGTATGCCACCTCCATCAGTCTAATTAAGAAAACCTAAATGTGGTTACTTAAAACGTACTTGATTATGTGGCAACACTTACAAAAGGCATACTCAGAGGGACTAAGAAGTGTTGAGGGGGAGGGAAAGATATTTGTCATGTGCCTTCTGCCTGGATCTGCTAATAACATAGAAGCTGCTAGTGTAAGGGATTTGCTTACACATAGATTTGAGGATTACATTATGTGTGTAATGGTTAAACAGCCACTGTAGGTCCATTCCTTACTTCAGGAAGTATGATGAATCATATAGCCCACTAGCTCCAGGTAACTAAAGGGTTTTGTTCTCTTGTTCCTGCTTAATTCACTTCTTCTCACTGTGATAGAGAATTTGGAAATATCCTCTATGGGTAACAGGCTGCTGTGTCCATTCCTATGGCAACATTCCTCATATATTGTCAAGCTAACTGTTCACACCAACATTAAATATTTATCCGGCGGAAAGATCACACAATTCCCCGCTGATTCTCAGAGCAGCTACTTAATCCCACTTTAATCCTGATAAAAGCTTTGAAAAAGAAATTAAATGAAGTTACTGTTCATTCTATTTGAAGTCTATGTACATCAATCAATATTCATTAAATGAATAATCTCCGCATCTGCAAAGCAAGAAGATATTCGCTTTCACAGCTCTGTCATGTCTTCTGCAACCAGTACCAGCCATTTACCTTAAACTCATAACCTCAGTTTTTCTGTGCAGGCCTGTGTCATTGTGATAATAGTCAAGGGGCTCTAAATAATATATTTGACACCAAGTAACTTCCTATTCCATTTGTGGAACCTGTTTAAAACTTCTACAGATTAATACTTCCCTCAGCTTAGCCTCACATCAAAATTTCTTATAGGCTCTTTTGAGAATGCATATTGTGGGATGGAAACCTGGAGGAGATATCTTGTTTTTTTGTTGTTTTTTTTGTATTGTGGGCCCCAACGTCAAAGTTTGTATGAGTTGTTTTAAAAGTGGTAGAACATGCAGAGGGTCTATGCACTGTGCTGGTCTGTCATAATGAAGACAACTGTATAGGGAAGGTTTTGTCGTTGTACCAAATTACTCATGTTTAATTCCACGTATAGCCTTGAGCTGCAGCTGATCACTGAAAGAATGAGATTACCAATGCTTCTGACAGAATAGCACCTTTTTATGTGTTATGTTTATGCATTTCGCAGATGCTTTTATCCAAAGCGACTTACAAAGCAGTGGATCTCTCGATCTGCAATTAAATGCTCTACCACTGAGCATATTTTTAGTTTAATTTCAGAACAATCTCATCCACGGGGGCACTCAGAATAGCATCTGTCATTTATGGAACCAACTGACGTGTTTTGGTAATTTCTTAAAGGGACTAAAGTGGACACACAGAGGGCTGACTTGGGGGACATCTCAGTGTCCCTGTAGAAGAAAAAGTTGAAGGGGCAAAAGACCTCTGCCTTTGGTGTTGTACCAAACAAGCAACACAAAATTGACTCCAAATGCAATTCTGACAGCTTTCATTGTCTATTACGCACATGTTCAGTGTATGTGCGGAAGAGGACACAAGGCAATAAGTGGTGAGACTCTTTGATGGCTTTTTGTGTGTTTACAATATCAATGAGCGAATAAAATGCAGCATGTCAGCAGAAAAGTAACTAAAGTAACACTTAGCAGCAACTTTGCTGCTTCACACATTATCTTGCTTAGTCAAGCTGAAGTCTAAAAACGTACCAACATCATCATAGATGAAAATCCTGAGATTTACGATGCTCCAACTCCTTTGAAGGTTTTTCATCAAGAGATAACTATTCAAAATAACTTAGTTACTAAAGAGCCAGGCTTTTCCCTTCATAGGGAGTGAAGTTGAAACTAAACCATAGTTATGAAAGAAGAAACAGTGGATTAAGAGAAATTTATTCATACAGCTAAAATTGATGATTTATATCTGAAATGTGCTGGATTACACAAAAATAGCAAGTCAATTTGAAAGCAAGAAAATATGACTTTACCAATAAATGGATGTCTAAAAGGACAAACATATTAAAAACCAAGAAAGACTTAAGAAAAAAATTAAGGCTAATGCAACACAAACTAACACCTTTAAAGTCATACAGTATAATCATCTTAGAGAAGGCAACACAAAAAAACACTATGTGGGAGAGTTTGGCTTAATGTGTGAAAAAAATAAAGCACAAGTACAAATTTGACAGCAGGAGATGAGATGAGGGTCTCAGGTTGAGCTATTCTGAGAGTTAACATTTCAATTACAATGTAATTACCTAAATCAGAGAAGACTGTTTGACCAACAAAACATATTTACATATCTTTAATGTGCAAAAGGGAAAATTCAAGAAAGAAGAAAAATTATATTTGCATTAATACTTAATGATAAATTCAATTGATGTCCTAAACCAAATAGATAAATCTATTAATTTTTTATACTCCCACAACCATCAGTGCCTGTGTTTTGCATCTGAAGACCTATCAATTCAAGCCCTCTTCAAGCAGATCTGACACTAACAACTTTTTCATATGCCAATTATTCAGCCGTGGATAAGAAAGGGAAAGAACAGCTTGGACAGTAAGAGACAAGAATAAGAACCAAAAAATTCAACACCATTTTGTGAAAGGCAATGAGAGGATATTGGAATAAACAC